ATGTCTGCGTGCATGAAAGACACTGAATGAGAGATTTTTATCACCTTCCTCGTCATCACCTTGAAGTATTTGTTAACTTTTGTATTACACCAAACTGGCACTGTGGTAAAAGGAGCAGAATTCACTTCTGCCCTCTTGGGAGTTTATAAAGTCGACACAAGTAGTCTATGTCCCTGAGCTGCAGAATCATATACCTACAAACACGGCATATACTGGTTTGTGTTTTGCGTGTGTGCCCGAGTACATGTAAGTGTATTTATTTCCTACAATGTGTTCGCTACACTGTAATGCAATTGTACATGGTTTTTATGAAACCAGTTGGGTCTGTACTTGTCCAAAAAGGAAATTACATTAGTTTTCATACTTAAGCTAGTTAAAAGGAACCACTCTTTACCCAGCCCTGAAACCTGACTAAGGCTCTCCCTTTAGATACCTTTTTTGATATTCTCATCATCCAACTCATCCATCTCATGATGACTGTTAACGACAGCGTCTGTGGCTGGGCCAGCGTTCCTGGATTTCGGCTGATGATGGAGAAACTCTCAAGGACGAGAACACACCTGCTTCATCCCATGTCACTTGGTCTTATCAGTCACGATACGGCTGGAGTCCGTGGGTCAGGAAATAAAAGTTTCCAAACCCAGTCTTTTCCCCCCCAATGTAGATATAGTTTGAACACTCTCATCTACTGCTATCTGGCTTTTTTTGTATATCTGTCTCCCCCCCCCCGCCCCGTCTAACTGAGACTGAAAAGCTGACAGCCCTGGAAGTGATCACAGGTGACCAGGATCCCTCAGAAAAAGCTAACCACAGCGTATTTTCCAAATTTTCCAAGTCTAGCTCTTCACCTGTCTGTAGTTCCGTGTTCTTTTCTTTTGTTCTGTGAATTTACCACATTCACAGAATTCACAATGTGAATTGTATATTCACATTGAATATATAATTTTATAAGACTTTTCAAAGGGGTCTAAAATTTTTTTTCAAAGGGATCTAAAATTTAATGAATAAACAATACCCAAAATGTCCAGGTATTGATTAAAAATTACTCATTATACCAAAAATAAGAAAGGCATCAAACTGAATTTAAAAAAGCAAGCAACAGATTCCTACACCGAGATGACTGCCATATTAGAATTATCTGACCAAGGGTTTAAAGCAGCCATCATAAGAATGCTTCAACCAGCCATCACAGATAACTGGGGACAAACTAAAAACAACAACAAAAATAGAACATTTCAACAAAGACATGGAGAATCCCACAACAGAAATAGAAGAGATAAAGAAAAACCATATGGAAATTTTAGAACTGAAAAATACACTCATAAGAATATAAAACTCAGTGAATTGACTCAATAGATTTGAAAGAACAGAGGAAGTAATTCGTGTGCTGGAAGACGAAACAATGTAAATCATCTGGTGGGAACCAGAGAGAGAAAGGAACCTAAATCTTTTTTTTTTTTATAAAGGAACAGAGCCTTGGGGCCTGTGGAACAATAAGAAAAGATCTCATATGCATGCCATCAGAGTAGGGGAAGCGGGGAGATGTTTGCCAAAGGGTGTCAGTTTTCAGTTATACAATGTTCCTTACAATTTACTTGCTGTCCTGAGGACCTAATGCACGGCGTGGTGACTACAGGTAATCACACTGTACTGTCTAAATGAAATTTGCTTAGAGAATAGCGCTTAAGGGATCTCATCAAAACACGAACAAAAAGAAAAAAAGGTAACTGAGAGGAGACGGATGTGGTAATTAGCAGATTACGGGGATCACTTCTCAGTGACACCAACCGACGGAATTGATGGAATTCCCGATGAGAACAGTACTTCTGGCTTAGAACGACTCTAATTTTAAAAACTGACTTTTATATTTACCGTGCTAGTATCCGACCTCTCCTCTATTCAAGTAAGTCGTAAGCCTTCTCACCACATACAGGAAAAAGGGAACTGCGTGAGGAGATGGGTGCTAACCATCTGACCGTGGGAATCCTTTCACGATGTGCACATGTATCAGATTATCATGTTGTACACTTAAAAATCAGAGTTTGTCAATTGCACGCCAAGAAAGCTGGGAAATTAAAGGAGGGAGTGGGGCAGCAGAGAGGGGGAAGAGTTATAAAAGGGACCCCGGGGCGATGGAGGTGTTCTGTGTCCTGAGTGGCCGAGGGTTCATGAAACACACATGACAGAATCACACAGAACTAAACACGCTCGCAACACGAATCCGGGGGACCTGAATGAGACCAGGGGTGTGTCAGTGTCGGTGTCTTGGTTGTGTCATGGAGCTGCCGTTTTGTAAGATGGTAACATTGACGGAAACTGAGTAGAGGGGACAAAGGGTTTCTCTGTATTGTTTCTTTCAACTGCATGTGAATCTCCAATTACCTCAAAATAAAAGTTTACTTTAAAAAGAGAAATGAAGAAATTGGTAGCAGCTCCACATCTCCACGTCCCTTTTGGATTCCTTTTAATCCACCATCGAAAGAAATTGGAAGTGCCTCCAGCTTTAGGCCCTCCTACCGTTTATTGTGTAACCTGAAGATGAAATTCTGCCCAGAGCACAGACTGGAGGAAGTGCGAATAAAAACAGGACCAGTTTAGTCGGGACAATGGAAACCAGTGGTTAGGCTGAAACACACCCCATTCTATGAAAATGAATGCTGGAACTTCATGGCAGGCTTGGGGTTTGGCACTGCTGTTACCAAGCAGCACGATTATTGAGAATTAGGGGGATAAGACCAAAAATCCCAGGGAGAAAAAAAACAGCCTGCAGCGGCTCCCGGCTTCCTCCGGGCACTCCGGCTGCAGGCGGGACCCCCCCACATCCCCAGCCCGCCCCCGGCCAGAGCTGCCTGCGCCTCGGAGAGGACGTCTGGGCCGAGCCGGGCCTCAGCGCTCTGCTCTGAAGGGATAGTCCTTGTGACTTCCAGCTCTGAAAAGCAAGTCGAAAATAGAAGTAGAGAACGGCTATTGTTTTCAACAGAAGCATTAAAAAGATACATTTCCGTAGTTTTGAACTCCCTCGTGGCCTGGTTTAGTCTTTAGATTGGCCTCCAAAGTGGCCCGTCCGCGGACAGGGGAGAATGACGAGGAGGAGGTTTAACTGGCCCCCAGAGGTACCTGGGAGCCGCCTGTGCAGGGCCCAGCCTGGGGCGCCGACGCCGCTCCCTCCGCTTTGCGAGGAGGGGAAGAGTGGTGCTTACATGGGGAACGCGGCCAAGCGGACACTCCGGTCCAGGCCGAGCAGGTCGGTCACGTCCTGCTCTGATAATCCGAAATCAAACACCGGGAACCGGAAGGAAACATTTACAGGAAGTTTAGTTCAGTGGCTTTTAGTTGAGTTAGGCCGGCCACAGAGCACTTCGGGCCTGGGGGGACAGAGCTTCCTGTGACCCTGACCTTCCCCTGAACATCCTCTGGGGCCCCAAGGGCACGTGGGCTCCGACCGCCCTGCGGGCTCAGCCCGGCTGCTCAGGAAACGCGTGCAGGGACGGGTGTGTGCTGCCCCCGGCCTGCAGTGCACAGGACGTTCCAGAACAGAACTTCCCCCAACACACGCAAAAAACAAACAAGAAACAACCTCCCCCCCAAAACACACAAACAGCTACAACATTTCTTCCTTCAGCCACCAGCGAGGGAGATACTTGCCCCCCCCCGGACCATTAACACTCCCAGTATCTGTACACAGTGTCATTTTTATTTCTGTTCCTTCGAAAGCAGTATTCTAAGCTCCCCCCCTCAACACTCCTGGACTATAAGGCGCTCGCCTGCAGTGAAACCTTTCCACCCCAAGAGCCAGCCCTGAACCCACACCTGAGTTGCTGGGGGGCAGGGGAGGAGCAGAGCCCGGGAGGGGACAGAGCACTGCCTGGCCTCTTCCCACAGCGGGTCCTCTACCCCAAGTCTAGAGACTCAGTGACAACTAAAGTTCTACCTGGAGAGAGAGCTGGGGCCGGGCACAGTCTGGGTGAAGGGGAGAGAGTGACCAGCTCTGGAAGAGTCTGGACACGTCAGGGCTGAGGCAGCCTGGGTGCGGCACCACTGGGCGGCCTTGGGGGCAG